CCTTTGATTTAATCTTTTACTATAATTAAGGTCCTTTAATCAAACATGCAAACCTTACTTTAATACAATACTGTGCATCTGAAGGTTAATTCACTGCTTTTTGTCTTAACAAATGAATACGCTGACCCAAACTCTGAAGTTTGTGTTTGCTCAAGGTTTGACCTGTGTGAGTGGGTCTGTATGTTTTTGTGTGTGTATGAGAACAGGTGGGATGGGGAGCCATTGTTCCCAGTCTTGAAGCCTTGCTTGAGGTAACAAAGCTTGTATGTGTGGAAACAATGAACAGAAAGAGAGAACAAGGATTGTGGATATTAGGTCTCAGCTTTCCCCCTTTTGTCTGGGAGCACAGAAACTCCACCCTGAAAGTTGGAACCACAATGAGAAGCAGTTTCTTCTCATAGTGAGACCTCAGAGGGCCAGAGCACAGCAAACACTTCCTCAAGCAGGTGTGAGAGGAGTATTTTTTGTTTTTATGCATTCAGAGTCTAATAATCTTCAAGACCTGAACATTTCTGTAAGAGCAACCTTTTCTTTCTTCTGGTAGAAGTTGAGTCCTGGCTGCAGACACGTAACAATGGCTTCTCAGGGTCTTCAGATCATGGGTGTGCTGCTGGCCTTCATCGGCTGGCTGGGCACCATCATCACCTGCGCTCTGCCCATGTGGAGAGTCACCGCTTTTGTCGGGGCGAACATTGTCACTGCACAGGTGATCTGGGAGGGCCTGTGGATGAACTGCGTAGTCCAGAGCACAGGCCAGATGCAGTGTAAGGTGTACGACTCCATGCTGGCTTTACCCCAAGACCTGCAGGCCGCCAGGGCCATGGTGGTCATCTCTGTTATCGTCGGGGTGTTCGGCGTCCTCATGGCTGTGGTTGGTGGAAAGTGCACTAACTGCATGGAGGACGACGTGGCCAAAGCCAAAGCCTGCATCGTGTCCGGCGTGATCTTCATAATAGCTGCTATGCTCATCATGATCCCAGTGTCGTGGTCAGCTCATGCAGTGATCAGGGACTTTTATAACCCCCTGTTGACCGCGGCTCAGAGAAGGGAGCTTGGGGCTGCACTTTATATCGGCTGGGGCTCTGCTGGAGTGCTGCTGCTGGGAGGAGGTCTGCTCTGCAACAACTGCCCCCCGAAAGATGGAAGACCCTACATACCTGCCAAGTTTGCTCCGGCAAGAACCGCATCTTCAAATGTGGATTATGTGTGAGTGTTTGGGCTGGAACTGCAGCATCAGATGTCTCGAGATTTTCATTCAGTTTTGTTAATGTTTCACCAAAAGGTTGCAGAAAAAATATCTGTTTCATGAGGTAATTAAAATTGTTGTTGCTCACAAAAGCAAGAAATCTGTGTTGCTTAAGATCTGTGTATTTGTTAGATTAGGGAAGAAAATACTTCCTCAGAAATTGAGTTACTTTTTAAACTCAATAAACAATTTGGAGCATTAAGGGAACAAAAGACTGCACAGTGAAATATGTTGTCTGCTTATGTCCCTATCAAAGGTTGACATATACAGTGTAAGTTAGTTTTTTCTCAGATCTTGTTTTTCACAAATAAATATTTACCTTACTGTGAATCTAAGGACTGAAAACCATTAACATTCCTCTGAATCATTAACTTTATTGGGAACAAAATAGTCAATAGAAGGACTTGTTTCATTCATAAAGACATCTTAATACAGACAGTCTTTATTAAATTACTGTATTCCCTAATGTTGTAAAGATGCTGCCCAAAATAAAGATAAATACAGATTTTTTAAAAGCTTGTTTAATATTGGTACTGTGTGCACTTGAAATCAGTGGTGAAGTTCTGTTTTATTCTACTGCATAATCATTGCTAGACTTCCAATTGTCTTTTAGATGTCAGAAATAAAGCTTCTTTGTCCATACTGTTCCTGACTTCTTCCTTTTTTCGTGTTCACTTTGCACCTGCACTGTAACAGAACTGAAACTGAAGTTCGCAATAATCTTGTGATAAGGCATTCAGGAATTCAGGGGAGTAGACTCCTGGGAATTCACTGTATCTGGTTGAGATGTTTGCCATGCTGTAATCAAGTGCCCTTGTATAAAGATGGTAATTTACTGTTTCTGTCTTGAGTAAAATGGACGTCACTGCCAGAGACAACAGTGCTCTGTGTATGCTTGGATTCATGTTGCCAAGGAACTGTTTTATATCTCCAAAGAATGAATATTTACACTTTGCCCACTAAGAGCACATCTGCCAAGTCTTGTCAGGTTGATGTATCTGAAACCTCTTTAATGGTTTTTTTTTTTTTGTTTACAGACATTTTCAATTGAAACCAGTCTGACAAGAAAAACAATACTTTACTGTAATGATTCACTTTGTGTCTTTCCTTTTTGGCCACTGAGATCAGTCCAGTGGTGTAAGAAATATTCAGTTTTACTTAGGCAAAAATAGCAGTCACAATGTAAATGTTGAGTATTTATTTATGGTTAAAAGTACAGAAAAAGAATGGAACGAAATGTACTTAAAGTAAAATTGTAGTGTAAAAGTACTCATAATGCAGAAATTGCACTGGTCAGTATACTGTAATACTGGAAATTATTAAATTAATGATGTATGAATGTTAAGCCAACATTTTACTGTTTTTAGCTGGTGGAGCTAAATTTAACATTTTATATAGTTGAGTCAGTTTGTCCAATATCACAAATCACAAAATTCAATAAACCAGCCAGCTGCATAAATGATGTAAAAGCCATGTAAAAACCTAAATTTTTAAGGTAATAGTAACAATAACTCCTCAAATTAAGTAAAAAAGAGTTCCATATTTCCATCTAAATTTTGCATAGAATAATAGTTCTGAAGAAAAGTACCTCAAAATTGTACTCAAACACAGTAATTATAGTAAGTAAATGTACTTTATATTCCCCCTGATCACGCATATTAAAAAAAACATTGCTGACAAAAAATACTGTTTATTGTCTGAATGAAAAACAAAATGAAAATGAAGATTTCACATGACAAATAAATGTTTTTATGAAGTGCTTCAGTCACAAAAAAATCAGGAGTCTGAGGCAGATTGAATTAATATTGACATTCTAATACAAAACAACGTAAAAAGAAATTAATCTGCAATCCTAACATGGCACATACCTTGGAGTCACTTGTATGTTTCAGAAACAATAGGCCCCAGTTTGTTAGTAAAAAAAAAAAAAAAAGGTTAGTCACTATGCAAATCACAACTTGATAAGTAACCGGTTTGTACTTTGAGTAAAATCAGGTGCTTTTTCAAAAGCTGTTGCCTCTAATGTAATGCAGCAACTCAGACAAATTCCTTCCCGGGTGTTGTGGATTTAGGCGCGGAGTACTTGGCTCCATTATAGCGGTCTCCTCCTGACGGGCACTGACAGCAGAGAAGAGCACCACCGATCAGCAGTAGTCCTGATGCTCCCCAGCCCATGTACAAACACGCACCCAACTCCCTCCTCTGGGCGTCTGGAACCATGGGGTTGTAGAAGTCCTTGATGATAGTATTAGCAGGCAGAGACACGGTCACCAGACACAGAGCACCACTCAGGATGAAGAAAACCCCTGCGGAGATGGCCACTCTAGCTTTTGCTGCCTTGTCCCCAATGCAGGTGGTGCATTTCCCTCCGACCACAGAGAGCAGCAGGCCGAAAAGAGAGAAGAGGATGGCGATGACCACCATGGCCCGAGCTGCCTGGAGGTCCGGAGGCAGGGCTAGCAGGGAATCGTAGACCTTGCACTGCATCTGGCCCGTGCTCTGCACCACACATGTCATCCACAGTCCTTCCCAGATGGTCTGAGCCACCACAATGTTGTTCCCAATAAAAGCAGACACCTTCCACAGCGGCAGCATACAAATCAGTATGTTTCCAATCCAACCAAGCACTGCCAGCCCGACGCCCAGAATCTGCAGCCCTAAAGATGCCATTGCTGTTTCCTGATTGCTGGTGCTCCTTCTATTTCTTGCTCTGTCTCAGTTCTTCACTGAGCTGCCAACTAAAAGCTCTCCCACTGTCGGGGAGGTTTATATGACCCGCAGATGCCCCCAAGAAGCCCCCTCCTCTGGGTGGGCTTTGGCTTCACTGTTCAGATATAAACATCAATCTTGCTGCTGAGTTCAGAGGTGTTTCTCTCCTACAAAGAGGCCCTCTGGTGCCCCAGTAGAGCGTTGAAGAAAGAGAAGAAGCTTAGACAGAAGGGTTCAGTGAAAAGCTTGCTACAGTAAACGTCTGATGTTATGAAGTTTTGAAAACTAGTGACATCTATACAATCTATTCCTGTAAGGATTTTAAGTTCTAATATGAGCTAATATTTATTCTACCTGGAATATCCTTTCCCTTTTTTACTCTTATCTCTGTTTGGATACATCTTTCTTGTTCATTTTAAAATGTGTTTGGCTCATGCACAACAACTCAGCTGAGGCTCAGTGGCTAATCAGCACAGGTGAAATCACTCAGCTTGATTGCTGCACTGGTAACAGAACATGAAATAAGGTGGTAAGCAGACATGTTCATGGTCTAATTGACACTTAAAAATGTAAAACGGGAAAAGTGTTGTTACATATTGTAGGATGGGCAGTAAAAATAAACTTATTTCTCCCTGTGGTTGAGATGAAAATGAGCCAATGAGCTAAACACTACCGAACTAACTTAACGACCACAGGTGTTTTCAGTTTGAACAATTTTGAACAACCAATCAGAACAACCTACCGTGTTGGCATAAAAGCTGCAGGTGAGAGAGTAATCTTTGTATTTCATTGCTTGTGCAGTTGACTCCTCACACGGCTGCTTAACAACCTGAAACGAACTTGGGTTCTGCAGGTCTCCAGCTCTTTGGCATCTTTCTGGCATCCATCGGCTTTCTGGGAGACATCATCATCTGTGCCCTGCCGATGTGGAAGGTGTCTGCTTTTATTGGGAACAACATTGTGACAGCACAGATCTTCTGGGAAGGCCTGTGGATGAATTGCGTGATGCAGAGCACCGGACAGATGCAGTGCAAGGTCTACGACTCCATGCTGGCTCTGCCCCAGGACCTGCAGGCGGCGAGGGCCTTAGTTGTGATCTCCATCCTGATCATCTTCATGGGAATCCTGCTTGCTGTCGCAGGAGGAAAGTGCACCAACTGCATTGAAGATGAAGTGGCCAAAAGCAAGGTGGCCATTGTTGCGGGGGTGTTCTTCATCGTCGGTGGTATCCTGTGCCTGATCCCTGTGTCCTGGTCTGCTAACGAGGTCATCAGGAACTTCTACAACCCCACCATGATCGACGCGCAGAGGCGGGAGCTCGGCGCGTCGCTGTTCATCGGTTGGGGATCAGCAGGACTCCTACTCATTGGAGGTGCCCTTATGTGCTGTCAGTGTCAGCAGCGTAAGGATAGCAGATACTCTGTCAAATATTCTGCCCCACGTTCAGCAGCCAGTGGAGGGGCCTATGTTTAAAATGCCTGCATGTAGTCTTAAAGTCTACATATCTTAGTCTGGCAAACTGGACTGAATTTTTCCTTTTTTTTTTTAAGTCCTGTTTTATCGTCTTGTCTTTATATCAAGTATTCTACTTTTAAATAAATTTAAACTTCATAATCACTTTTCTTGTGTGGAGGTGCATGCTACTGTTGTCAGTGAAGACAAAGGAAGGTTTTAAGATGGTGGTTTGGCCTTGAAAAAGCCTTGATTAATTGGGTAACTTCAACTTAGCTGGTCTAGTTTTCTAATCAGTTTTAACAACCAAAATCCAGCACTATAACGACTTTGTGGCTCAGTTGAAACCAAAGTTAAATCTTTAAGTCTCTCTGGTGTTAACTGTCACCAGCATTCACGACACAGACCCTGCATCTATGAACTACCTCGTACACTGTCTTTACTAAAGTCTATAAGCAGTGAATTTGAGATTTTGCTGAATTGCATTTAAAAAAAAAAAAAAAACCTTGTTGGAAATTTTTGGTAACTTTAAAGATTTAAAGATACACCAGTGCTTTTCCTACAACATCAAAATGGTGTGGGGAAAACTATTCACACAGCTAATGTTGCAAGAATCTACAGCTCTACTTAACTGAAGTTGACTGATTATGCAAGGCAGGCTGTTGTGGCTGGTTGCAAAATATTGTGGCAATTCGGGGGGAGAAAAGTCATGGTATATGCTCTAAAAAGAAGTGTTCAGTACGTTCTGATGCTAACACTTATGTAACAAGTGGTTTTTAAATGCTTGAGTATAGCAAAATGGGTACTTGAGGTTTCATTCATTGACCCTGGATTATATTGTGTTTAACATGCTCTTATTTTGACAAAGGCAACATGAGCGATGAGTTGCAACCAAGGTTCACTCATTTCACTGAGCTGATCATAGTATAGACTTCCGTGGTAGATATCTTTACTATTAGGCACAGATGTTACTATTAACAATATTGGCTCTTTGTCATTAATTTCTCAGTGAGCCAGCATAAACAATAAACTGACAGAATGCTTTGACATGTCAATGTCTGTAAAAAACAAAAGTAATGGCAGTTTGGTAAATTATCTTTAATATATCTATATTCATTTAACATTTTTCAATCCAAAAGTGAACAATTTATACTTATCCATTTAATTTTGTTTAAATGATAAATCCCCTCCAAAATATCATGAATTACCATATTATCTTTTTTAGTATCATGATTTTTGTACTGACTATTTTGTTTATCCAATATATGTAAGCTAACATAACTATGAAGCTACAGCTAGCATGGATCCGTGGAAAGGTGACTAATTCGGCCTACTATAACCTCTAAACACATACCTTGTTTGTTTAATCCATATAAAAACTGAAGCGTAAAAACAACTTATTTTACTTGGTGTTTTTAGACTTCTGGTAGTCTTGTCAAGGTGCAGCTGTTTCACTTTAAATCTTTGTGCTAAGCTAAGTTAACCGCCTGCTGATTGTAGCTTCATAATTATAATTCATTCGAATCGATACCGTTATCAAACTCCCAGCAAAAAAGTGTATGTTCCCAAAAAGTACCGGGACAGGCAGTATATCTGATTTGACTACACTACATTTCTAAAACCAGGAAGACACCTTTCAAAATATCTTCTACTCTTCTAATTTCTTTTGATATTATAATCATGTGTATGTATGTTTTGAATTGAATCCCACTGTTGAGCATTAATTGAACAGGTGCTGATAGAGGTACTCTACTCTTTCTTTTCATGTATTAGCTCCTCTCAAGTGTTTTTTTTTTTTTTTTTTAACCCCAAGCTCTGTACAAGTTAGAAACTTTTAGGAAGCGCTCATGTTATGTCATTTCAGGTTTAAAAGGATTCTCAGATAAAGTCTGAACTGAAGATATGTGAAAGCGTGACTTAGTGCTTCAATCCATTTAGAATTTGTAACCAAAGCCTTTTGTTTTGGTGCACAAAGCAGTTATTCATGCATGGTTGCTTTTGTTAACAGCTCTCTCCTCCTACTTCTTCACAGTGAGCAGGAATCAGGACAAGCAGGAAACCCGATCCAACGTAGCAGAGTCCCCTCCCTTTTGCTCTTCCTTCACACACCTGCAGTGCAAAACCATTCAGCAAAACACACAGCAAAAAAACAGCAGAGTGAAAGCTTCTGGTAAAAATGATCTCCAGCTCAACTGAAAGGGGATTTTGTTGCTGTTTTTGAATTTGTGGCAAACATAAATACCTGCCTTGAATTAGTTTTTGTGGCAAAATGCGGACTCAGCTCGTTGGTGTGTGTTTGGCAATCATCGGATTTCTTGGCACCATCCTTATCTGCGCACTGCCAATGTGGAAGGTGACAGCCTTCATTGGGGCAAACATCATCACAGCTCAGGTCTTCTGGGAAGGTTTATGGATGAACTGTGTAATCCAGAGCACGGGTCAGTCGCAGTGTAAGGCCTACGACTCCGTTCTGGCTTTGCCACAGGAACTGCAGGCTTCCAGGGCTTTGATGTGCGTCTCCATCGCTGTCAGCGTAGTGGCCATCGGACTCACTGTGGTCGGGGTCCGCTGCACCAACTTCTACCGTGATGACTGGCTGACCAAATCTAATGTTGGCCTGGCTGGAGGTGTGGTGTTTATATTAGCAGGGCTCCTGTGTGTTATTCCTGTAAGCTGGTCAGCTTACAGCATCATCACAGGTTTCTACAACCCTCTGGCCACCCAGGAGAGGAGGGGAGAACTCGGTGCTTCCATATATGTGGGCTGGGCGTCTGGAGCTCTACTCATCATTGGAGGAGGGGTTTTGAGTAGCACCTACAGATGCTGAGGATGAGGAGAAGAGAGCGAAGAGCAGAGTAGAGTACGTGATGACATCTATCAGATACAGACTGTAGTTGAAAATGTACAAACATGTATTAACTGTGATGGACCTTCTTTGTTTCAGTCTTAGATCAAAGCTTCTTTTCAACCTCAGTTAAATTGCACTATACTGACATTTTACAACAAATCAAAACATTAGAAAATGTGTAGCATATTGAAGTGTACAGCAAATTGCATGACCAGGACATGCAGTGTTTATGATTGTAGAGGAGTGAAGATTTAAAACATGAAGGTTAAGCTAATAGTTGTATATATTACAGGATGTTAAATGAAAAATGTTGAAAGGTCCAGTGTGTAAGATTTAGCAGCTCTATTTGCAGAATATAATATTTATACATATGTTTTCATTAGTGTATAATCACCTAAAAATAAGAATCATTGTATTTTTGTTACCTTACAATAAGACGTTTTTATCTGCAGTGTCCATCCACGGAGTCCACCATGTTGAACCGTCATGTTTCTAGAGTAGACCAGACACTGGCTCTAGATAGTGCCTTTCACGCTTGGAAGGGGGGAGTGAGGCAAGCAATCTGCAATTTCACTCATGCCATTAAATCGTACACACTGGTCCTTTAATGCAGACATCCAAGTTTATGTGAAGTGTTTTACTGTGCATAGCACAAATTGTGAATTGAATTCTCAAAGAATATTCAGTTTTTAAGTCGTTGAGAGACTATTGGTGTTTAATCAGAATCTTAAACAGTATTTGTTTAAACTGCCAGTGTGGTAAGGAAATGTATGTTTATTTGCAACAAGACAGTTTTATTCAGAGACAATTTTCAATAATCTGAAACTGAATTATGCAAAATCATAAAAAGTTATAATTACTCTTTATCACTGTCATTACACAAGAAGTTGAACTGTACTGGACAAAACTAAAATGTCTGTTTCCATCCTTTTACTCATTATTGAGTTATTGAAGTATATATTTGCTTATTACGTTCAGTTGTTTCCATCTTTTGCCACATCAAGTGGAAACTATAATTTTTTTGTAACTTAAATAAAACAATAAAATCACTTTGCAGAACTTCTTTACAAAAATACATTTATTTTGTCTCTCACACTATTATTTTTAAAAACAACTTCAGATTTTTTAGCCCTCCAGAGATATATGATGCTCAAATAAATAAACAGATAATAATAAACGGAACAAATGTTAGTTTGAGAACTTCTAGGATCTACATCAGCCATTTCAGTTTGTATAAAAGCCTGAAAAACCTGCTTCGGTTCTAGCGCGGAGGTATTTAAATAATGTATATTTACAGACACCTCACAAGCTGCCTCTCTAGACCACATTTGCACATCTCTGTTGATCTTTGTGTCATCTGACTACTTAACATAACAGCAAAACATAACAGCTGACTAAAGGATCTTCCTCTATTTCAGCAGAGATAAGACAAGGGGAATGCTCATTTTCTCCTTTGAAAACCTGCCAGGAAATCCTTAGATGTATATCATTTGCTGGGGTCACTGTGGATTATTATTGGAGAATTATCTTTTTTTATTGTAGCTCTTGTATCTCTGATTTTAATTTACTGCTGCATAACTGCATATTTTTTAAATGGAGGGGCAGGGCAAACAGATTGGAGGCTTGGCACTGGTCATGATGGGGGTTTTGGGAGTGTGTTTAGTGTGTGGACTGCCAATGTGGCGCGAGACATCTTTTGTGGGAGCAAATGTTGTGACTGCACAATCGGTAAGTTGATATACTGTACATCCTAGAGAAATTAATTTCACTTACTACATGTTAAATTTAAATCATTATATAATATTTATTAAATTAACAACAGAAACACAGACTTTCTGAACTTGCATAAAAATGAGGGAATAAGGAAAAGCAAAACACAACAAAAAGTTTGAAGAGAGAGATATATTTTTAACTGTAATGAATTGTACTTGTATAGTTGTGCTGGTATTCATATGTTGATGTATAGATTTTTCTATGGTTAGTGTGATAGAGACTATGCAATGGTATTGTGTGTACAAGAATATTTTCAGCGTCTGTTTGTTCCTCCCCTGTGACTGCAGATGGACATTAGCTTAAATCATCTCTTCTAATTTTGAGATGAATGTTTTTGTGCATTGTCCTTGTTTAATAAAGACAAAATAAAGTTATGATAGTTGTGTACATTTATGTATGTCACAGTATAATGTTGGATTACACTGAAATAGTCTGTTTCCTTATTTATCTCATCTCATCTAAATCTCCTTATTTACCAAAAAATAAAATACCAAAGACTTTTAACTGAATTTGGAATTCTGCACCAAGAGTATAATTGAACATATAAGTTGCTTCTCAACACAAAAACTGTAATTCAGGGTTTATGGACAACCTCACCTACATTAATGAATGAACATCCTGTCCAGCTCTTTAAAATTCACTGAAGATTCCCACTGTCTCTGTATTAGGTGTGGGACGGCCTGTGGTTACACTGCGTCCTTCAGGCCACAGGTCAGATACAGTGCAAGACACACACAACATCCATCACTATGACCCCTGACATCCAGGCTGGGCGTGCCCTCACATTGCTCTCCATTGTCGCCGGCCTCCTTGGCTTCATTGTCACCCTCATCGGAGGAGGCGTAGCCAACTGTAGTGACGATCCACCTGAGCCCTTAGAGCCTCCGACCACCTCTTCCTCAAGAAAGAAGGTGCTAAATTTGTATTCATATTGCACAGACATACATTGTAGCAAGGAAATTATTCCAGCTATTAATTCTAAAATTGTGGGGTATCGATCTTGTTTATAACATCTGTTACGAATATGCACTATGTAGTAATAAGATCAAAAAGAAGAAAAGAATAAGGCATTTATATTATGACACATGGTCCTTCTGCAAGACAGACATAATTAAGTAAAAATGCAGAGGCCACCACCTTTACCATCTCAGTTTAGATTGTGCTTTTAATATGTCAAATTACCACAAACTAATTGCCACACAGGGCTTTTTGGGGCCATGCAGTTGGGCAAGTATCCGGTTGGCAATCTTTAATATTTAACATGAGTATCTTTTGAAATGGCCAAGGTGTATGTAAAACCTTTTTTCTGTGCTTAATAGCCTCTATGTGTAGTGTAGGTTTTTACTGCATTGACCATGACGGCCTCAATCGTTCGTCTGCAAATAAAAACACAAATGCCATGAAAATATATTTAAATCACGGATATCCTTTGTTTCTCAAGGCATCTCTGCTGGGTGGAGCTCTGTGTGTCCTAGCTGGCATCCTGTGTCTGGTTTCGGTCAGTTGGTCAGCAGCAGCAACCATCTCACTCTACAACGACCCCCTGGTGGTTGCGGCCCTGAAGAGAGAGGTGGGCTCCTCCATCTACATAGGTTGGGCCTCCTCTCTGCTGCTCCTGCTCAGCGGTGCTCTGATGTGTATAGTCTGTGGGGAGAGGGAGAGATCCCAATCTCTGAACTACTCCTACACGCCGTACAGCATCAACTCATTCAGTGACGGCTCATCCCGTATGGGCAGTCTAAGGTCTGATTTCATAAGATCAGACAGCTCCAGGAGGTTTGATCGTCATACACCAAGTTGGATGGGCATGTACTCCAAGCGTCCCTGAATAGAGCTCAGAGTGAGGTTGGGAGGTGTAACCAGCCTCAGGCAGTTTTATTTTCAAGTCTTCCAAAATATATTTTTCAGAATACCTGTGATTTTTTATTTAATTTAAACCTATTACTTAAGTCTGACATGTGGCCACAACCGATAATTGAATTAAATTGTGTTAATTTCACTTTTTTAACAAGTTATTTTTTAAAATCAGTCTAAATGAATGTGTGAAATTTGACTGCATTTAACACCAAACTGGTGTGGCGGGGCATTTTTTAGAGGTGGCACGCCTCAAGACCCACCCTTGGCCTTAGGGGACAAAACACAGGAGACTTTGGGAAGTAAGCTAACCCGTAATCTGTCAAACAGATCAGGGACACCAGACAAGGGTGAAAGGCTTATTAACGGGGATGAGGCCAAATCTGGTGTGTGACGATCGCAGCAGAGCCACAACTGTGCCAAAGGAATATTATTACAGTGTGTCCTAAATCTGGTTGGGTGGATCTGCACTGATCATTGTTCTTTACTGAGGGTGACTGAACACAGGAATTACATAGATGTTAACAGTGAGTGTTTCTGTTTACATGTCAGATCAATAAAGTTTGACATCATTGTTATCATTATTCAAGATACCTGGCTTTACAGGCTGCCAGTGTATTACTCATTAAAAGCTCATGCTGTACAGCCAAACATTGTAATGTTATAGACCAAGTAAACTAAATTTAAATAAATATTAATAATAATGGTAGTGGCAGTTTTTGTTTAATGATTAAAAAAACTGCACTGGCCTTTATATGCAGGACTGAGGAAAAGTTATTCAAATTATTATCGTTAAGAGAAACTCCACTTTAATACAATGACTGATCTGAATGAAGGTCAACTACATCTTTGTAGTGTCACAAAGTGCCACAACATTAACAAAGTGCTAATGTTTCAGATTTGTGTTCAAGGACACATTTGCCTGTTCAGTGAATATCTGCTTCATCCCTGCAGTCATGTGTGCATTCAAACGCCTACTGTTCATGCCATTACACTCTGAGTGCTGCTAGTATCGATTGGCACTGTGATCACTCTGGAGGTGATGTGCCTTTCTGGAAACCATTTCAAAGCTTTTGATCTTTGCCAATCAGAAGAGTACCATTTATATTCACTGTGAATGACTGTCTCATATTTCAGTGATATTGTAAGAAGTTAGATTTCTCAAGAGGAACTGCTTTACTCACTCACACTCTCTCTGCACGGTCTCTCCTTTAGACTGATTTATATCTTTTGATATATTCTGTCATATATTATACTATACTTATTATGTATTATATATTATGCTGTACTATTCTATATGTTTTTGCTACTACTAAATCTCACGTTACGTTCAACTCATGTTGTAAAGGCTAATCTCAATACACTCTTTAAATTAATTATTTTTATTACTAACTATATTTCTATATTAATACAGACAAACACTGAGTATCATTACCCATCATATTAGAAATTATTGTGGTGTATGCTCTTTAATACCAGACTAATCACATAATTTTGTCTTTAATTGCTCTTGTATAATTTCTATTTTTACCTCTGTTCTTATTTATGTTTTATCTCCTATTATTTATTTTTTTACTTTCTTTATATCTCTTATATTCTTTTCCCTTCTGGGTATTAATCAAAGCTTGTTGTATCTTAAAATAAAGTAGAAACTGACACTGAAACTGAGATTGCTACACTGACATTTTTGAGTGTTGAGTCTTGGTAAGTCCCTCTTGGATATAATCAGTAACGTCCAAGCAAATACTGTGCTTCCGTACTGATGAATGATTTCAAATAGCTTTTGAAAGGTACAAAACAACCATGCTTGTGAATTGATGAGAAACATAATTAGTCTGTGTGCTGTATTTAAATTATTTTGTCCTTAAAGGGGCTTCTGTGTGCATCTGAAACTTTGCTGTCCTTTCTACTGGTGCTGAGAAGCAATGTGGTCAGGTGAGATTTCTTCACAAACCAGTTTCAGCTAAGAGGCTACATCAGAAAACTCCTCCTCTGACTTCTTTAACAACATAACCTGTGAGTGACAAAGCCATAGTCAACTTCTCCTCTGAGCGGGCAAAAAACCACTACTTGTTCTTAGTAACACACAGTCTTACCTGTTTGAAGAGATCGACAGAGCCTCAACATGGTGTCTGGTGGAAGACAGATTCTGGGTATGGCCCTGGCCATCATCGGCTTTCTGGGGAGCATCATCATCTGCGCTCTCCCTACCTGGAAAGTCACAGCCTTCATTGGTGCCAACATTGTCACTTCTCAGGTGATCTGGGAGGGTTTGTGGATGAACTGTGTGACCCAGAGTACAGGCCAGATGCAGTGCAAAGTCTATGACTCTCTCCTGGCCTTACCGCAAGACCTGCAGGCTGCCAGAGCTTTCACCATCATTGCCATCATCGCTGGGGTCTTTGGGATCTTTCTTGGCGTGGCCGGTGGCAAGTGCACCAACTTTGTGGTTGAAGAAAGGGAAAAGAGCAAAGTGGCCATCGCTTCTGGAATCCTCTTCATCATCGCAGGCCTCATGGTGCTTATCCCTGTTTGCTGGACCGCCAACACCATCATTCGTGATTTCTACAACCCCATCATGACCGACGCTCAAAGAAGGGAGCTGGGGGCCTCGCTCTACATTGGCTGGGGCTCGGCGGGGCTGCTGTTCCTAGGCGGGGGACTCCTCTGCAGCTCCTGTCCCCCCAGAGATGAGAACGACTATGATGTGAAGTACGCCAAGGCTCGCTCTACGGACAGCGGCAAGGCCTACGTTTAGATCTCAGCTGGAAGCAGAATTCGGACAGTGTGATGGGAAGAGATAAGAAAAAGAGTTTATGAGTGTCACCTCATTTTCCCATGAACATGAGTCAAGTTCCACAATTTAAAATAATAATATCTAAAATGTAATTAAAGTAGATAGGAACATTTGCAGTATGACTGTGTAACTTAAGTATATGTTTTAGTCTTAAAAGAGTCGTATATGTTGTAAACATGCAATATTTGTATTCTTTATGCAATGTTTTGTATTTTACACCATTATGGACACTTTCACACAGTTTTCCTTATATTGTTTAGTTTATTTTGTTTATTAGTCACACTCACTCAGCGTGTTCTCTATGATGTGTTCAGAACATGTGTGTTAGGAACTGCTATATACAAAACAATTGTATATTTATGTGAAATCTGCACGTGTAGTTACTGTTTGGTGTCTAAGTCTGATATTTTGGCTCTTCTTTCTTGATTAAAATAGTTGAATACTGATGATTATGTGACTGATTGAGATATACTGTTCAAATAGAATTTTCTTTGGTTGTTGTTTTTCTCTTTTTGTATTATTGTATACCATTAAAATCTAGGTCATTTGAGCATGTGTGGCTGGTGGTTTTTATTTTTTCAAAGGGAAGAACAGTTACAGTGGTGACAAATGCCAAAAAACCCCAGCTGAACAGTGGATCTGGTTTTTCAGGTGTACATGAAAGATTCCTTACAAACAGGTTGTGTGACAATGTGTGTCCCTCCTGCTATAGAGACCTTGCTGAATAAACAAAGACACTCAGTAATAACTGTGTTTGTGTGGATGTTTTGAGTTTAAATGTGCGTATGTAGTATTGCCTCTTTTTAACTGATAAGATGATCTGTTTGTAAACTTTTGCACAAGATACAGCGATTTCTTATGTCCTTTAAATACAATATATAATCATAATACTTTGGGAAAAAAGTAAAAAAATTAATAGACAAACAGTATCTCTCTAAACTGTACAAGGACAGCGAGATTAAAGATTATTAAACATTATTTTGATAATTTGATTAAAAAGTTAAGTAGTGTGTATATTTGTGTGTGTGTTTGCATGTTTCAAACTGGTTTTTCTGTGCAATAGCCGCTGCTAGAATGAAACTGGTTTTCTCCCAGGAGATTGTGTTTCACATCATTCTTCTTTTGTTACACCAATACATTCTGCAGGTACGCATTACGAGCATGAATACATTGCCGTATATATATATACTGAGCTTATTTGCAATCCAGTTCAGCATTTCTGCATTCTCATTGCTCTATCCAAAGCTCATTGTTTCCAAAATTATCTCGTCAGAGGAAAACAGTGAGGGAGGAGAAAAGATGATGTCACAGTTTCACAGCTACCTCTCTCTCTCTGTTTTTCTGTCAATCTCCTCCCCTTTCTTTTCCCAATAGAGTAGGTGTGGTGCATCTACACCTGACCAGTAGCACACAGGCAGCCGCTCAGGTGACAGAAAAGACTCTGAGGCAGAGAAATTAAGACAGAAGGGACAGAGAGAGAGAGAGAGGGGGAAGGAGAGGACAGCAGTTAGGGATACAAAGAAGGAGGGGAAGAAGGAGGGAGTATAGGATGTAAACAAATAAACTGAGGCTGAAGTGAGACACACCTGGAGTCAAGGCTAATGGAGGCTGAATAGTCAGAGTCCGACAGGGCTCTGCGCTACTGGGATAGATTCTTCAAAGCACTGCAACAATGTCAAGAAATGGAGGTGTATGAGAATGGCAACATCAAATGTTGAGAAAGACTGACACAGAAAAGATAGTACGAGATAGAAGAGAAGAGAAGAGTGACCAGAGAGATCAGGATTGAAAACAAAAGAAGCTACACAGACAAAGAATAAAAACATCAGAACGCTGTTCGAAGGTCTGTAAGGATTTCGAAAACAGCTTCAGAGATTTTCCCTGAACCTCTGCATCATGGCCTCTCTGGGGATGCAGATGCTGGCCAGTGCCCTGTGCCTCTTGGGTTGGGCAGGGGTTATCATCAGCTGCATACTGCCCATGTGGCGGGTCACTGCCTTCATGGGCAGTACCATTATCACCTCCCAGACCTTCTGGGAGGGCATCTGGATGACCTGTGTGGTCGAGAGCACGGGGCAGATCCAGTGTAAACCGTACGAGTCTCTCCTTGCACTCAGCACAGACCTGCAGGCCGCCAGGGCGCTCACTGTCCTCGCCATCACCACTGGCAGCATGGGCCTCATCCTGGCCTTTGTTGGAGGGAAGTGCACTCGCTTTTTGGATGAAGAAGGAGGTGGTGTTAAGGGTAAGGTGGCTGTAGCAGCTGGGGCAGTGTTGATTGTCACAGGGCTGCTGTGTTTGATTCCCACGTCGTGGGCGGCTGGGGCCGTTGTGAGGACGTTTTACAGTGCCTCCGTTGATGCTCAAAGGAGGGAGATTGGAGCCTGTCTCTACATTGGCTGGGGAGCCTCCATCTTGCTTTTGCTGGGGGGTGGTTTGTTCATCAGCTCATCATGCCCCATCAAAGCCCGTGACGCAGACAAGAGCCCCTCTGTCCGCTACCTGGTGGTCCGCTCCTCCAACGGGTCCAGCCAGGCTGGTTCTCATCGCAGAGTGCCACCAGCAAAGTCTCAGCCTGTTGGAGCGGTGTTTTCCAGGTCCCAAAGCTACGAGGGGGCATCAAAGACAAGGCCTCCCTGGGAGGACGTGCAAGGTTTGAGGCAGGAGTCAGAAATATCATGGGCACCATCAACAAAGTCTCAGATGAAAAGACCAGAGTCGACAAAATCTGAACACAGTGAGGCACCGTCTACAAAGTCTCAGCTGAAACGAGCAGAAATGGAAGAGAATTTGTCAGTTGGGAGTGAAAATGAGGATGCGTTCTCAAATCCAGCGAGAACATACCTGTAATATGGGGGCGCACACATATACACAAATGCAACATGTTATTTAGAAGTCGTAGTTTACTTATTTTGTGATTGTTTACTGAAGTATGGTTGTCTTTATACTCCACCATGTTGCTCTGCTCAAAGGACAGAAGGGAAAATGTCTGGACTACATTCCTCAAAAACTGTACTTAAAACCAAATACAGAAACAAACCAAATTCAGGTGCAAATGAAGTATGCCATTGTTGTTTTCCTTTTCAAAAATGTGCTTATTTAAAGAATCATTAATTAATGATTGGCATTCATTTTGACATGTTAGGTTTGCCATGCTAATGTTGGTATCAGCTTTTTTTCTTACTGTGTAAAAGCACTGAATGAGGACAAATCCGTCAGCATAAAGAATTTTATTTTACCTCAAACTGTTTGTCTGTTTCTACCATCATTACTTAGCATTATAATTTTTAATTCAAGTATGTGCTCATTAAAAATCTCCACTTGCTGCAAATAAAAAGTAATTCCTTACGTGTTGCACCAGATGCAACACTGATGTCATGTCAATTTCTGTAAAGGCTTTGATTTTGCTTTTTGTAACAACTGTGAAATGTGATTTTATGTCTTCTTGATTTGGACAGATATTGACAGATATTTGTAGGTTTACTTTTCAATAAATGACTATAATTCTTTTAAGCAAGTCAAACGTTTTTTTAATTTATAAATGTATTAAACATGCTAACATGTCAGAAATGAGCTGAAAAGAGCCTTTTCTTTAAAGTTTACAACAACACCCTGGACCTTAAGTCCTCTTCCTGGCTATTAAAATCCACAGGACAAACTGGTTTGACAGAGAGTGTGGTAACAGCGACAGTGTTAGAGGAAGGAGGCACAATGTGTTTACAGAGTACGCCAACTTGGTTTCAGTGAATCATGTTTCTGTGAAGTCTTGTTTTGGATTTGCTTATTCAAATATGCAGTAGCAACAGTCATATGCTGCCACTTTACCAAAATAAAAAAGGTTTTACTTTAGAGAACACATGTACATGGATATATAAAGAAGAAAGAAACTGCAAAAATAAGTACGTAATACAAAATAAAACAACAATGAAATAAAAAAATAAAAAATAAACTTCATTTAAATTAAAACACAGCAGGTAACATCAATGGATGGATGACAGACTCATCCAGAGTGATCTATAAAGAAACCACAACATCACAAAGTGCACTATATCTATCTATCTATCTA